CCCAGCACCCTCTGCGGGGCAGCCCACCGCCCTTGCCTCCTCCAGGCCCTCAGAACCGGAGCCTGCCTGGCCGCCACGCATGCCCCTTCCAGCCTCCTCTCTGCTCACACCGGCTCCGCCGAGCGGCGGCCTGCCTCTGGGCGGCATCCAGGTGGCACTGTTCTTGCTCACTGCTTTTGACTGAGGAAAGGAGGTGACGCTCTTGAGACGCTCGTGAGACAGTCTCGGAGGGAGGCTGAGCAGCCTCACGCCCTCAGACCAGAGGATGGGGCCCCGGGATGGGGGGTGGGCGTGGAGGACCCCGGGAGAGCTTCTTGCTTCAGACCCAGCTCCACTTGCTTCTTGGGTCTGCTGCGACTTGCTATTTAAATCTTAAAGCAGCCAAGACCTAAGGTGGGGAAATAGCTTAAGAAATACCCCCCCACACTTTTTATCAGAAAAGATTGCATACAAAAGAATACGGGTAATTGTGTATAAAAGGTGAGAAGCAACAAGGACGGGGCCTTGGTCCCCACGCACACGGGTGACCGCTCTGCCTGCAGGGACAGCCCGTCCTCTCTGCCACATGCCCTCTCCTGCCCGGGGACCGGATGCCGTGCCAGCCACATCCCTGTGTGTGTCGGGCAGCCGGCGGGAAGGACTCGTCCATATCTGGGACACCCCCATGTCCTCCACTTGCCGAAGTGGGGCCCGAGCCGCTCATGTTCCACACCCACTCTGCTTCTGTTGTAACTGGAACGGCTCATCACGTCGGCCTTGGACAGTTCCACGGCCCCCGCGGGGACGTGTGCAGCCCCACGCAGGCAGGCGTGTCCAGGCTCAGCCCTACCGAGGGCCCAGCAGGCCTGGGCAGCGTGCTGCGTGCTTCCTCTCCCCGGCCTCACGCGTGGTTACACGGCATGGAGGGGACCCAACACAATGGCCCCACGGGGCAGGGCCCGTGTCTCTTGCTCACGGCTCAGTGTTCTCGGGCACAGTGCACACCCGCTGGGGGCGGGGGGAGGCTTGTGTGTGTCACGGAGGGACTGGGCGAGCAGGCCCTCACTGTCCTCGCCCGTGTGACATGCAGCTGAGGGGCCCCTGGCCCGGGCACTCCGCCCTCTGGCATGAGCGTGTCTCAGCCCCATAAAGGGTGAGTTGGAAGTCAGAGTCTGGATCCTGAGAAGCCCTGTTTCCTGCCTGACGAGCATCCCTTGTGATTAGAAACAGAGGATCAGTTACGGCTTTTCGGGGAGGAAGGTCCCGGTGGGACAAGGGCTCACCAAGCGGCAGCGTGGGCAGCGGCGTCCCTGCCGAGTCCGAGCTCCTTTACGACCAGGGTTCCAAGTTGTAAGAAAGGAAACGCTCCCGGGGCGCCTGGGTGGCTCAGTCGTTAAACGTCTGCCTTCGGCTCAGGTCATGATCCCGGGGTCCTGGGATCGAGCCCCGCATCAGGCTCCCTGCTCGGCGGGGAGCCTGCTTCTCCCTCTCCCACTCCCCTTGCTTGTGTTCCTGCTTTCACTCTCTCTCTCTCTGTCAAATAAATAAATAAAATCTTAAAAAAAAAAAAAAGAAAGAAAGGAAACGCTCCCGAGACCAGCCTGGTTCGGTTTCAGGGGCCGGGCTGTGGGGGTGCAGATGCCCAGCCGGCTCTGTCCCGGGTACAGGGCCCACGTGGCCCATGCTGCCAGCATTTCTAAACTCAGGGTTTTTCTGGCTTCAGATGCTTTCTCCTAGATTTGTGTTTAAGGGAAAAGAAAGCTAGCCTTCAAATACGGGACATACTTAAACACGGAGTGTCTTCTATTCCGTCCTGTGGTTTGAGTCCCTGCAGAAACCCAATCAATCTGACTTCTTGCCTTGTTCTTCCCAGTTGGAGAAGAAGCAGGCCCTTCCGCCATTCCAGCCCCAGATAACCGACGAGTACGGTCTGGACAACTTCGACACCCAGTTCACCAGCGAGCCCGTGCAGCTGACCCCAGATGATGAGTGAGGCCTGGGCGGGGGGGGTGGCCAGGAGGGTCGGATCACCCCGTCCGCCGTCTGCCCTGTCCGGGTCGGCCGCGGGCTTGGGGGGCAGGGGCTGACACCAGTCCCTGCGCTCTGCCTGTGCACACAGGGACGTCATAAAGAGGATCGACCAGTCCGAGTTTGAAGGTTTCGAGTACATCAACCCGTTACTGCTCTCCACCGAGGAGTCCGTGTGAGGCCGTCTTCTCTGTCATGGACACGTCTGTGAATGACCCCTTCACTCTATCCTTAACCACAGCGCATGCATGCCAGGCTGGACGCAAGGCTCCAAGCGCGGCCAGGAGGGACCCTTGCCGCTGAGACCGTGGACGGGGCGTCCAGCCGGCCCTTCTCGGAGCGGAACAGTCTGGCGTCTGGGCCCGCGCGGCCGGCTTCGTGCTGGAGGAGTTTGCTTCTTGTGCCTGCGCCGCGGAGGACCCGCGGTGACTGTGTCCGAGGGAGAAACTGCCCCACGATTTCGAAGGTGCACACTTTCCACAGAAACAGAACTGACCTGCTCCGCCAGGAGAGTTAGCCTATAATGTCCTGAGGAATAAAATGTGCCCATGATGTTGAAGCCTCCCTGGTGCCTTTTTTCTGCGAGCGGCACCTGCCCAGAGTCGCGGGCGACACCCACACGGGAGGCCCCAGAGCGGGCGGGGTCTGCGCCAAGTGGTGGCTGGGGACTGGGGACGGGAGTCCGAGTGCTCGCAGGGACGCACTGCGTTGAAGAATTTACAAATGTGGAACGTTTTCTAAATCCCGGTAGGTTTCTGTTAATATTTAACACGTGTGTCACACCCATGCGTTGCCATGGTCCAGCGTGGAGGCCACACGGCATCCAGACGGATCCTGCTGCTGACAGAAGCACCCGGAGGCCAAAAAAGGTAAGGAAGTTGAGAACAAAATCTGCACAAAATATTTCTGCAAACACTAAGCTCCGTGATATCCTGTATTAAATCTTCAAAAAAATATTTTTATCGGTAATAAGTATGCTCAGAATTAGAAAATTTAAAAACATCTGCGTGTAGGTGCCCCTAGCCTTACATAATAAATCTAGAAGACCCATGAACATTCCACCCCGGTTGCAGAGTAGCTTTTCTACAACACAGAGACTTGTCTCAACCAGTGATGCAATTGCAACCGGGAAGACTTGCCTCCAAAGACAGAAATTAGGGACCCCAGAGCAGATCCCGAGAGCCAACTTCTGGGTCTCACGGGGGTCACAGCCCGGAGCTGACATCCATAGCACGGCGTCCACCCGAGGGCTAGGCGGTCAGTCGGGACTGGTGAGCGGAGCCCTGGGACGGGCTGATGTCACACGGGGAGGGCGAGAGCCCCGTGTGCCCGGGAGGGGATAACAAACGGCTGCTGAGAGCCCCCTTGGGCACAATGACCGTGTCTGTTCCAACAGGACGGGGGCCCTGGATTTGTTGAGACTGAAAGCATTGATTTCTTGCTGCCAAACAGCGGCTCGGGTTCCAGCTGGGCGGGTCCCGTGCAGACGTGTGCACACGGCCGGGCTGGTGGCTCGGGGACACGTAGAGCCGTCTGCTTTATAAATTCAAGAAGGGGAAGGTAGCACTGCAGTGGGGGTGGGAAGCAGCAGCCCCAACATTTGCGAGCGGCATGGGTTGTCTGGATGGCCCGTGGATGGAGACACCGTGGCCATGGCCGGCGCGGTCTGTGGTTGGCGCGGTGAGCGGGCAGCGCCCGTCCCCAGCCATCTTCCTCCCACAGCCGGTGTTCGCGGGCCAAGGCCGGGCAGGCTTCTCGCATCCACTAAAGACTTAGAGGAACACGCATGCTATTATTTCTGATAAAACTAGGTGTTTCCAGAAAGCAGCAGTTTTGGAAGGTGTTTTTATTATTTTTTTAAGATTTTATTTATTAGAGAGAGAGCACACAAGCAGGGGGAGCAGGAGGGAGAAGCAGGCTCCCCGTGGAGCAGGGAGCCCGATGCGGGGCTCGATCCCAGGACCCTGGGGTCATGACCTGAGCGGAAGGCAGTCGCTTAACCACTGAGCCACCCAGGCGCCCTGGAAAGCGTTTTCTAAAAAATAGACTTTCTATAGAGCAGTTTTAGGTTCATATCAAAATTGTAGGGCATCTGCAGAGATTTCCCACGTGCCCCTGCCCCCATGTACCGCCACCCCCCCCACCCTCCCTTCCCAGGGGCCACTTGTGACCGCGGACAAACCGCACAGACATGTCATCGTCCCCAGGGTGCTGGGTGCACATCTTGGGGGCGCAGCACACAGTTTGGACAAAATGATGACATGTACCCACCAGTGCAGATTGGTGCACACGCCCGAAGTCCCGTGTGCCCGTCCGCGGTGCCCACAGGTTTCTCAACTGTCTCTGTAGTTTTGCCTTTTCCAGAAGCCCCTACAGGGGGTCACGCAGCATGCGGTCTGCAGACTGGCATCTTTCCCTTGGTCACGTGCAGTTAGGTTCCTCCACGGTGTCTTCATGGCTCGTGACCCGCTCCCTGCCACCACTGCTCTGCGGCCACGGTGGGTGCCACAAAAGCCCAGCTCTTCCAGAATCTGTGGGCCGTCAGCACTGGAAGGAGAGCTACCTATAGATGCTCTTGTGCCCCACTTTCCACGGGCCCCGGAAGCCCAACACCTGGCTGATGCGGAATGTTCTGGCACACTGGCCTGCCCACTGCGATGACGCCTGGCCCGGTCCCACCCCTTAAGTCCCCGCCCGCCCGTGGGTGAGGTGTCTTCCGCCCGGGGTGGCTGGCACTGCGTAATGAGCACTTCATCTGGGGAATTAAAACACGGTGTGAGCGGGGTCTGCGGAGGCAGGAAAACATGCAGCCCCCGCCTGTCCGCAGACGCGGCCAGTTCTGCTCACGAGTCTCAGCTCATGCACCTGGGCCTGGTCCCTCTGCTAAGCGGCTCTGTCCATTCCGGACGGCAGGAGAGCGCTCTGCTTAGCGTCAGCCAAAAAGGGAGAGGAGCCCGGGTTTCGGTCCCAATACAAACACACCACACCAGGAGTCCACACTGACATTTTAACACGTGGCTTCCATGGCGGAGAGGACACGGTTCCGGCAGGGGGAGGCTGGGCCTCCGCAGTGGCTAGGCTCACCACACCACGTCTTCCGTGCTTTCCGCCAGGCACTGAGCAAGGTGGCCATCGATGTCCAGCGGGGCCAGACTGCAAGAGGGAGGAGATGGTCACCCAGGCACGCGAATGCTGGCCACACGCCACCTGGCCGGGGCACCCGCCACGCACCTTCACGGCCTTCCCTGGTATGACCACCTCACCAAAGGTCAGCCAGAGAGAACCCCGCAACAGTCTCCATAGCTGGTCGGAAACAGGGGGAAGGTCCAGAGAGTCCACACGAGCCAGAACAGGCCTTCCCAAATCCTGTTCCCCGGGGCTGTTTCTCTGGGCCAGGCGCTCAGCGCACCTGGACACACATTCTCAAGGCTCACCCAGGCGCCTGCGTCTGGGGGGAGGGGGGCGCCATGTGTCTGAACGAGCCTCCCAGGGATTCTGGAACCCACTCGGCTTGAGAACCTCACGGCTCCCAGGGAACTGCTTGTCCTGGAGCCTGAAAGCCCGCCTGGCGGTGCACAGGACAGCGTGAGAAGCTCCTCTGCAGGGCCTCAAGGTCGAGGGTGGCCCTTCCTTGCTCCCCGGCCTGCCCACAGCTGGGCCTCTGTCAGAGGTCCGTCAGAGGGTCACGTCCTCTTATGAAAACCGCCCCACTTGGCCCCCCAAAAAGGAAAAGCACAAAGGCCGGGACCCCACGAGCACGATCACTGTCCGTCCAGAGACGCAGGGAAATGAAGTGGGTGGAAGGTGTGTGTGCAGCTCAGGTCTGAGATCGTGTTTTCTTGACGTGGACGGACCAAGCCCCCTTAGGGAGGGGTTTCAGTGAGCCTGGGCTGCCAACCTACAGCTCTGGGGGCTCCGAGGCCTATGGTTGGCCTCTCGGTGTCCAGTGGGGTGTGGGGAGGGGTCTGGATTCGTGGCACAGAGCACTTTCCATCCCTGATCTCATCTAACCCCATCAAGGAGGGAGGGCCAGGCAGGACCGTCTCCGATGTGCTTGAGAGCTGTGGGCGGGCAGCTTCTGGCCGTGCCCCAGAGAGTGGCAGAGCTGGGGTGCTCAGCAAGGCTGCTGGGGGACACACTCCCACAACGCGGCCGAGCCCCCCAGCTGCAAGCGGCAGTGTTCCTGTGTCCACCCGTCGGCTGGCCTGCCCTCAGCTCCTCGGCCTCCTGCTATTGGCCAAGGCCCGTCCAGACCCCCTCCTGCAACCCTTACGCCCCAGACGGGCCCAGCCTCCCCGTACCTCCCTGGGCCTGGCAGCACGAGTCATGACCCCCTTCCTGTTGGGACTTAAATGTCCCCCCCAGCCTGTCCCAGGCCGGCACGTGTCATGGTGGCCGGAGCCCCACCTGCACTTACAGAGCAGAGCTCAGCACACCGGTTTTGCCCCCGCGGCCTTCCCCAGTGGGGCACCCTGGGCCTCTGTTAGCAGCTGACAGAGCGGACACCCCCTTCATCACCATGGCTCCCGCTGGACCCTCTGCGCCATGGCCTGAGGCGGTTTGCCCACAGGGCTTCTCCCTAGCCCCAGGCACCTCCCAAGATGTGACCCTTCCTCTGTCCGATCTAGAGCCATCCAGCTCAGCTGGCCAAGTTCACAGGCCAGAGTAGAAAGGCCCGTCCCTGGAGCAGCACTGCACGACGGTGGGGAGCACAGCACCGCCTCTCACCCTGCTGCTCTGGGCGCCTGTGCCCCTCCGGTGGCCTCCAGCTGCCCTCTCAGACTTCGTAGGGCTGGCCAGTGGGCTCCCAAGTCCCTAGGGCCCCTGCCTGCTCTCTCCAAGGCTGCCAGGAGATTCTAAGGTCTGGACCGGGTCACCCTGTCTGGGGTTTCCAGGTGGTATCCCTTGGGGGGAGCACCCTCTGGGACCCTTCAGACCCCCCCCGCCCCGAGTAAGCGAACTTGGTCTCAGCAGCCCTGTCCCGCACGCAGTTTCTGCAGCAGCTTGCCCAAGACGGGCCTGCCTTCCGTCACACCGAAGCCCGTGTGTGGCCCTTGGCGTGGCTGCAGGAGAGGAGACTCGGCCCAAGAGCCTCCAGGCGTCTGCCTCAGACAAAGCAACCCGCAGGGGCCCCGCACTGGCACAGGGCAAACAAGCCAGGTTCCCCTCGCACATGCGGGACACGACTCAGCTTCTGGCTTCCCCATCCCCATGTCAAGTGGCCCATGGAAGCCCGTCCTCCCAACCGCCCCCCGAGAGCCCACAGAACACGCGAACCCAGCAGCAAGCAGATGGGGTTTCACACCCCATTTGTCGAATCCACCACGTAACCATCCGTCGCATCACAGAATAAAGCCGTCCTGAGTGACCTGGAAACACTAAGGCTTTGAGAAGAACGGTGCGCTCATCCCACAGCACCCTGTCCCCAAAGCATACCCATCACCAGAAGCCCTCGGGTCACCAGTCACCCCCGTGGCCTGTCAGAAGGGCAGAGCGCAGCCTCAGTCTCTGGGTCAAAAATTTCCCAAGTGGGGGGACGCCTGGGTGGCTCAGTCGTTAAGCGTCTGCCTTCGGCTCAGGTCATGATCCCACGGTCCTGGGATCGAGTCCCGCATCGGGCTCCCTGCTCCTTGGGAGCCTGCTTCTCCCTCTGCCTCTCTCTCTCTCTGTCTCTCATGAATAAATAAATAAAAATCTTTAAAAAAAAAAAAAAATTTCCCAAGTGGGGTGCCCAGCTGGCTCAGTCAGCAGAGCATCTGACCCTTGACCTCGGGGGTCAGGAGTTCAAGCCCCACGCTGGCTGTAGAGTTTACTTAAAAATATTTTTTTAAATAAAAGATACTATATATTAAAACAATTTTTCCCAAGAATCACTAAAAGCTGACAGTTTTCTAGGGAAAGTCACAAGACAATTGGACAGTTTAGTTACTACATGCACCTGCCACACCGGACCCTCCTTCCCATGGCCCAGGTTGTCTCCCTGCCCCAGGGTCCTGAGCATCCCAAGGGCCCGCGCCTTTGTTTACAGCGACCCATGTGTCCCCAGTCACAGGGCGGACCTGAGGAGTGTGTCCTGGCCCGAGGACCCTCTCCTTTGCAGTCACATGGAAGAACGCGCTACGAGCATTTCAGACACGCTGAGGCCTGGACCCCACTGTGCTGACACCTACTTTGGGAAAAATGAGACACTCTGCCAAGCCTTAATTTAACTGCTTAAGAAACTCAAATCTGCAGTTTTTCTCTCCCTGCTGTCTCTGTCATCGGGAATCTTTCCTTTAGACTGTGTAGAAACGCCAGCATCCCAAAGACGAGCCCCCTCCGGAAGAGGAGGAAAGGTGGGGCACCCTGACAGCTTCTGCCAAGAAAACATATTTCCCACCAGGGTCTGCTGTGGCGTCCTCTGCCCCTGGGCTTCGTGGACTAGGCGTGAGTCGGGAAGACCACGGTTTTTAAAGAGTGTTCACCGCATTCTCAGAACTGGCGAGCCGGTCGGTATTTGCAACCCACAACCATCCCAAAACACAACTACAGGCAAGAGGCATCGCAGTGAGATGCTGGGTCTGCGAACATTCTGCAAATTCCCCGGTGCTCCTGTGGGCCGCTGAGCTGCCTCTGCGAGGCCCGGCTTGTGGCTCCGCCTGCCGGGGCTTCACCCACATGCACCGTCCCTGTCCCTGTCCCCGTGTGGGACAGCCACCACCTCACCCAAACCAGGCCGCTCTTGCCTCCCCAGCCCTGGGCTGTGCGGGCACTTCAAGGAGATAAATGTGGGGGTACTGGGCTCACCCCAGCACCGGGCTTTCAAAGCCTTGTTCCCGTAACAACGGTGCAGACTGGAGGAGCCCAGACAGTTGACCACCGACCGACAGGATCACGACGGGATCAAAAGATCTTCGTGGGCAGGCTCTGTGTGCTCATCCGAACCAGGGGTTTGAGGGGGTTTGGTCTGCCGTCAGCTCCGTCGCCCTCACTGTCCAGGATGGTGTTTGCTTCTGGAGGACCAGGGATGCGGCCCGGGACTTGCACACCATGTCTCAGCCACAGGAAATCTGGAGCTGCCCACTTACTGAAACCTGCCGTCCATTCACTGCACCTGAGCCCTATGACCCCCACACCTGTGTCCTTAGTTGTGGGACGTGGCCCACAAGCTGCGCAGTTCGGGTTTAACATCTCAGCAAAACTGAATTCCATTCCCCTCACTTAAAAAAAAATATAAAGAGGGCACCTGGGTGGCTCAGTCAGTTAAGCGTCTGACTCTTGGTTTCGGCTCAGGTCATGATCTCGGGGTCATAGGATGGAGCCCTGCGTCAGGCTCCATGCTCAGCAGGGAGACTGCTTGGTCCCTCTCTCTCTGACCCTACCCCCCATCTGCACTCCCTGTCTCTGCAAAATAAATAAATACATCTTTTTTTTAAAAAGGAATATAAAAATATACAATGAGTTCTTAAAGGAAAACAGCATCTCTAGGCACAAAAAGTCTTCTTTTTTAAAACCTACTCCTACGAAGACACCGGTGGGACGCTTTAAACAGGAAACTGCTTGGCAACCCACAGCCTGGGGGGGGCCCTGGAGATGGCAGTCACCACTAGGTTCCCTGTGACTTAGAGGTGGGGCTCCCTGCCCTCCGGCTGCAGAGTCGGCTCCAGGGAGACTGCCGCCTGTCCACGGGGCTCCAAAGGACGAGTGAGCGGTGGACCCCCCAGACCATACACCTGCGCCGTCTGGCTAACGGGTTCAGTCACTGAGCCCCGCAAACTCCGCAGGCACCAACTACCACCTGAAGAGGCCGAAGCTGAGCCCAAGCACCCCTCGGCCTTCTAAACGTGGCTGTGGCTCCCAAAGAGGGCTGGGGTGAGCGGAGGGGAATGGAGGCCAGGCCCCGCGCACTCACCTGGGGGCGAAGTCGGCCTGGCACATGGGGCAGCTCCGCAGGGTCGCCTCCCACAGCTGCTCCTGGGCGCCGGGGGTCCCGCGGGGCTCAGGCGCGGGGCGTCGCTGCGGGGACCGGGCAGGGGACCCCGAGCGCCCCCGGGCCCCAAGCAGCACCCGGTAGGAACGCCCTGGGTCCCCGCCTCCCCTCGGGGCCGGTGGGAAGGGCGTCCAGGAAAAGGTCCGGGCTCCCACGGTGAACACCTCGGGGGGCGCGGTGCGCTCGGGACCCCGGCCGCGCTCCTGCCAAACGAGGTTGTCGGGCCGCGTCAGCCGCGCCCGGGCGCCCCCCCGGCCAGGGCGCCCGCCCCACTCCACACCCGGCCTCCCCGGGGGCCCCCCCACTACGCACCGGGCCGGGGAAGGCAGGCAGCGACGGCAGCTCTCCGTCGGGGCTCAGATCCGCGCTCCCAGCTCGCAGCAGCTCCGCCCACGGCCGCGCGCACTCGCCGCTATCCCCCGGGAGGGGCCCCCCGCGGCC